CAATACCATTTAAAAATAGGTTTTGAATGATGTAATAGTTCAAAGGCACAGGGTTCTGATCGATTTCTACCATCTATGCAGGTAAGAAAACTAAGACGCAAAGCAATTAAAATACTTTAGGAGAGTGGATGAGGAGAAATATCCAGCACCGGAAGTGTGGTGGTGTAAATTTCTCCCTTCCCAAACTGCTGAGTGCTTGGGTCTAAATCTCAGTCCCATAATCTACCAGCTGTGTGACCTTGACAAGTGTTCTCCTCTGAAGAGTGAGCACCTACCCCAAAGAATTGCTAGGAAGATTAAGTGAAAAAAAAACAACAAAACAAAACAGGGAAGTACACAGAAAACAATGCCCAGGGTTGGCACCAGAGTGGGCATGCAGTACATGGAGAGCTCTTAATATGATGATGTATAAAAACTCTAGGATTCAGACACAAAACGATAATTATTTATAATGTCCAAATACTAAAGAACTAATGGAGATCTGGATCTAATTATCTTTTCTGCTTCAAGATGGTAGAAAATTCCTAACTGTTCCAGTGTCTCAATGTATAGCATAAGTCTCAAGACAGATGTATTTCCTAAGAAAAAATCAGAATACATTTTTAGCTAACTTATCCTCAGAGACATTCCAAAAGAGTAAAATAAAAAGCATGCATATTACTAAGCTCATGTTAGTGATCTCTATTATAAATCTTTATAGGCACATTGGAGTATAAATTATGAATTCAAAATAGGTAAATTGGTTACAGCAGCGAAGATGCTGAAGCGTAATGCCTTCCACGTGGCACGTGGCCCACACCACAAAGAGGGCAGTCCTTCTGCAAGTGGCTGAAACTGCACTGTCACATTTTCTGACTCATCTCCTTCGCAGCTCTATCTGTTTCAGTCTGTCTCACTCGTGGGCCTGGTGCTTACTCAGACTGCCACTGGAAAAGCCTGGAGTTCTTCACATAAAGTCATTCAAATACTCCTGAGTCACCACAGCGGATTTATTTTCACTCCGAGGCACAGTCAGAGTTGCCTTCATGGCAACATGTGGTAACACAGATTTTCTCCAAATGTGTGCGTTAGGAAAGGCTCCGGCTTCGGGCACGTGCGGAACAGGGTTGTTCCAGCGGGCACTGCTGACCGCCCCTAACCACGCCCAGAAGAGGACGCAAGGCCTCAGCCCAAGTCCAAACAGAAACAAGGAAATGTCAGCACAGCCCCTGAGGCTCCAGAGGCTGAGCAGGAATCGTGTGAAACAAGGAGCACAGCCTCCTCACCACCGACTCTGGAAACATCCGGTCTCTGGGATGACCCCTAAGAGAGGTAGGAAGATAAAGGGTGTGAACTTCTAGCTGCCCCAAAGAGCATGCCCAGGATGTTCCTATTGTCCCTTGCAACAGTCGTCTCCCTGTTATTTCCTGCTCTCTATTTCTCCCTCTCCAGTGGATGCTTCTGAAGATGAGAAGATGAAGGCCATCCTCAGATTCCCCATCAGCAGGGGTCAGCAGGTGCCAGAAGAGAACGGCGTGGGTTAGGCCCAAGTTCAGGTTCTACTCACCTCCTGCCTACACTCGCAGTAGCTCCAGACCAGGCCTCTGTCCTGCTCTCCTCTGACTCACCCTGCTCATGTTTAATCTTCCAAAAACCATGCTTGGATCATGCTTGTCACCTCTTCCAGTGTCTCCATGAAGCACAGGAAATACAGTTTAACTGCAGTGGTTGTCTGGAATGTATTCCGGCTCCAGTCTCTATTTCCAGCTCTCTCCTGTGCTCCTCTTATGTAAATGCCCACATCCAGCCAAGCTGTTCTCAATGCTTTGCTTACTCTACTTCCCAGACCTAACATCTGCCGCCTATCCAGTTCCTACCCGGACTTTAAAGCCCAGCTCAATCCCATCTCTTCCATGAAGTAGTTCTTCCTTGACCATCCTGGAGAGAGGGGGTGTGTGTTGGAAAAATAAATAAATAAACGAACAAACCCCTCTCCATTCTCTGAATTTCTATACTGCAGAAGTATATGTTGTGGACAAATATCATTCATTCATTTATTCAACAAAATGCATCCAGATGAGATATTCTAGACCAGATGACATGGGCCCAGAGAAGTCAAGGTCTAGGGGAGGAAAAGATAGGAAGTTATTGAGAGTTTATTGGAAGCAGGTCGCTATGCCATCCATGTCCACATCAGCTCAGTTCCTCCTCGCAGTGAGGTAGCTATTGTCATCATCACTTTACAGTAAGAAAGCTGAGTCTCAGAGGAACAATTTGGCAAAGATTACCACATATGATTTTTATTCTCCACCGTCCCCGTCCCATCTCAGGGACTCTGCCCATCTCTGCCTCGCTCTGTCCTTGGGATGCTGGCCTCTACACTCTGTGTCACCCAGGCTCCTCGGGCCCTGGCTCGCGGGGTTCTGGCAGCCCCTCTCGGCCACAGCTCCTGGGGAAGGGTTCCTCACAGCTCCAGCTCCTCTCACCAGGATCTAGTCGGACACTGTCTTCGGGGTAGGAGTGGTGGGAAGGCTCCTCTTGCAGGTTGGTGAAGCGCCTTAGCCCTGCCCATACCTCTGTAAACCATCCTTTTATTAAACCCTCTTCAGTTACATAGAACAGGATGTGAACCCCCGTCTGTCTTACTACACAGTCTGCCCTTTTCACTTGAATAACTGCGATGCTGCCCAGGATCAAAACAAAAGGCATCTCATTCTGACAGGAAGGATCAGAAATGACTTTTCTGAACAGTCGCTTGATCACGAGCCAGTCTGGAGCTGAAATTCACCAGGAAAACGAGGAATGAGGACTGGCATTCAAGGACAAAGTGCATCGCAAGTTTAAAGTCACAGAGGCATCAGCAATACATCGTATTGCCTCAGGCAGTTAGGTCCAGTGCTCATGAGTGAATAATAGTGGCTGAGGCTTCCCCAGCTTTGAAGATAACCACTTTTCCACTCTGATCCACATGGAAAGATTAGAAGAAGCTAATCATTAGCTAGATTCTGAGCAACAGAACCAGTGTGCCTATTTCCTACCTTCAACAGATCCCCATCGCAGAAGATAAACTAAATTATTTAGCATAATAAACAAACCCCTAAAGACCTGGCCCTGCCTGACCCTTTCTCTCATCTGCCAGCACCACCCAGAGCTGGTCCCTGAGTATGCCATTCCCTGTCATGCCTCTGTGCTGCTATGAATATTCTCACCAGAGATACCTACCACCACTTTCCACCTGATAAACTTGTCTTCAAGGCTCATCTCAGGCATCTGCTTCTCGGTAAAGATTTCTGACACTTTAAGATGCTTCCGTCATGCCTTGTGCATAATTCTACCGTGGTATTTTCATAACACAGACATGCATCGTTTACTTGTTTACAGGTCTGTCCGTTTACTCAGCTGTGAACTCCTAGAGCCGATTGCAGAGCTAAGTGCTGAGGCTCTGGGGGCAGGCTCCCTAGATCCAAACCCAAGACTTTGTTCCCAAAGAATTAAGTAAACTTAGGCAAGTTATTTACCTTCTCTGGGCCTCAGTTTCATCATCCATAAAATGAGAATAATAACATCTACCTCACAGGGTTGTTAAGTGAGTCACATAGAATAATTCTTGTTACACAATAAGTCCTCAATAACGACTAGTCATTAATATACGTGCATTCCTCATTTCCTGTATAAAAAGAGTGTATGTGTTAAAGGAATACATTTTCCTACTATTTCATATTGTTCCTTTGTTCTACTTAACCTTTGTTTTATTAAATTATGAACAGAAGACTCATCTCTAAATACAGGGGTGGGCAAAATTGGGTTCCGAGTTGTTTGTATGAAAAATAATACAATCATTAATAAATAATGATACAAGAATAAACTGTGTTTTGCATACTCACAACCATAAACCGACTTGTGCCCACCCCTGTATGTACTTATTTTACAGCTTGTTAAACAGGACCTTTTCCTGCCCTTGTCGTTGACCTGTCACTGGGTCAGACCTTCTCCTGGCTGTCTCGGTGTCTCCACATGTGCTTGCCACGCACTGACCCCACAGAACGGCAGTGCTGTTTTAAGGATTTACAAAGACTTATTACCAAGTCGGATCTTGATGGCTCCCCGAGGCTGGCATGAGGAATGACAGAAATAGGCTCCCTGCAGTCCAGGAGCAACCCTTTCTGAACGCTAAAGCAATGCTAAATTACTGCAGTTGTGAAATAGTTCTTTTAAAAGCTTTAAAGGGGCATTTTCTAAGCCCAAATCCTTAACTGGCACAGTGCTGGTAAAAAGCCCATGTGTGAAAACCCCAACCAAGGACAGACTCGGAGCACACAGAGCGGTGAGCAAGAGGACACCGGCATCCAGGGGAGCCCCGAACTTCCAGTTCGGGCAGCACTGTGGCCACAGAGACACGGGCTACCTGGTTAAAGAAAGGACAACATCTGGAACAACAGAGACCACACCTGAGAAGCCTAGCACCTTACAGAGTCACCCTGGCTGGCAGAGGGCAGCACAGGCTGTCCTGGTCCAAAAGCCCCCTGGAGGGGTTCAGACACCAGGCCCACCTGTCCCTTCCTGACACTGGCTTCTCCCATCCAGACACCGGCTTTACTGTCACCCCTCCGCACCAACTCCGATCTCTCACTGTTGCGCCTCAGCTTGGTGACCCCTATCCAGTCTAGATCCTGGCTCCAATGGGGCTCAGACTTCACCGGTTTTTAAATCCATGTCTGACAGTGACGAACTCTGGCCTCTACGACAACTCCGTGCCCCAAAGCAGGCTGTGAAACCCGTGTGACCACATTCCTTGCCGGAATGCACATGACTACGCCAGGAGGTAGTCCAGAGAGTCACCTGCCGCCAGGACTGACCTCTAATGACTGAGTCAGCCCATGGAAGGGTCAGCCATCACTTGCTGGGGATAATGAGAGGAAAACCCAGCTCGGTAACCTGATCACATCTGTAAAACTAAGAATGGCCACACCATAAGACAGTGCGTTTAATGTTCTTATAGGACACTGTTGTTCTCTACTTACAGGCCTTCTGGTCGCGGCACTTTGAACGGAGTGATAAAATTCTGGCTGGACTCGGCTGTTCCTCTTGATCCTCCGTTTCCTCAGTGAACTTTCTTGCTCGCTCTGATGGTGAACCTCCACCACGGGCTTGGCTTCTTCCAGACGGGCAGCTGCGGCCGCTGCCGCTCGTCTTCGAATGTGCCGGGGGCTGGCTCTGAATCCCTGCGGCAGAAAACACAACGGAACAAATCCCGATTGGTACTGAATTCGTTTGCAAATTCTCTGGGGCTCATTGTACAAAGAGCTCCCCAAGTCACCGAGTTCAGAGAGATCACTTCCATTCTCGAGGAGGGAATACACAGAAGGAGGTCGACGTGCCAGCCAGATCCGCCCACCAGTGTTCTCTACGCACCTGCGTGTTTCAGGGCCCAGAGTTATTCCACTTTAAGACGTTTTCAATCCCATAAAGCCAGTCAAAAAAAAAAAGGACATGTGAGCACATTGCTTTACTTATGCATATAGAAAGGGTGTTTTCACTCAGGCATGAAGCGGGCACAGGGAGTCGGACTGAGTGTTTTCCCAGGGTGAAGCAACCCTGAGCCACTCTGCATTCTGGAGAGCAGACTCTTCAAAGGAGGGAAGGAGGAATGCAAAGCATCTTTACAGAATTCCATAAAATGAAGCTCCAACACTAAAGGGAGACAAGTCAGTGGGGTGAAGTGTATGGTTTCGTGTCAGATGAGCCCAGGTCCAAATGCTGGTCTGTTGATTAGAGCTACACACTTATCAAACATTAATGAGAATAACTTTTCAAATCTAAGAAATGGATGGTATTCTACTCACAGGGCCTTTAAGTTTGAGATACAGAAATAAATGTTAACAGTCTAAGCACAGTATCTGGCAAATATCAGGTGCTCGATAAAATGTTAATTTCCCTTCCCTTTTAGAGTGAGGTGGGGATAAGGACAACCGGCTAGCAAATGGAAACAAGTTCAGCTGAGCCATAAAATGCATTTGGGAGTGTGCGGACGACTTTGGAAAATATCAAAAAGTTATATAAAACGGTCTCTGTCCTGTGTAGCTAAATTTACTGAAGATCAGGACAAGACGTCTAACAGAGCTCATGAACACACCGGCATGCACGCCAGGGCTAACGTGGGCAGTTGAGGATTCTCTGTGCTAGCAGATCTTGGAGAAGGAATCGATAAATGAAGCTGGAATAGTCTATATTTGGCTTAGTTGAGTGGGTGGCATTTGAAGAATGAATTGAATTTATATTCCAGGGCAGGGAAAACAACACAATGAATAAGTAAAATGATAGATGGATGGATGGATAGAATATATCCATTATTTGATGATTTGCCAGAATGCTAGTACAAGCTACACACAAGGAGGGCTTTTCTGAGGCTGTGGGTTTTTCGAATTTTAAAAGGTGTATAAAAACTTAAAGATTGTAGTAAAGGCATAAAGGATGGAGACTATGAATCTCAGGGGGAGAAGCAGTATGACAAAAGTCCTAATGATTCTGTGGGGTACTAAATAATTCATGTGTATGAGAGATTCTCACTGAGAACATGGGAGAAGGTCTGGAGTCTGATTATGGAGAGACCCTGAATACCAGGCTGAGGATACGAAAACAGAGACAAAAGTAGGGGGTGGCCCAGCATCAAAAGTAGCACTGAGATCAACAGAAATAAATAAGGAGGAGATGCAAATGGATTTGGTCGTAGCTTGGGCACTTTCTTCTCATCCCCAAACACATAGCCTGTTCTTCTCCTTGCCCTGTGTTCAAGCTCAGCTGGATCCCCTTCAATCCAAAACAGTCCCAGAAGATCCCCATTGCTCCCACATAGTCCACGAACTACTATAACAGCTGCCAATAAAGAAGATGAAGAAGAGAGAGCTGGGCCAATTGCTAAACTGTTCTAGAGCAGAATTAGGAGCAAGTTCATAACAACCAACAACCACACGGGCTGCTTTTAAATATGCTACTTCCTGGACATCTCTCTCCCTCCCCCCTTTTCCTCTCCCCTCTCCCCTTCCTGAATTACACTCACTAGGGACAAGGCCAAGAATCTGATTTTTGACAAGCTAGTCTGCTAATTGTCAGCACTTTGAAGACAGAACCTCTAGGAGCTGAAGTTTAGTCTAACCACTAGGTGGCACTAACTTTCACAGCCCTTGCACTTTCTAGCTTTTGTCATAGTAGGGATTGGGGTGAGCTGAATACATGTCTTTGGTAGACATGCAGACTCTCCTTCTCCTATGCTCTTATGGATAAGAAACCAAATTTTGTTTAACTTGGAATTTTATCAGTAGTCCTCAGTGGCCTACAAATTTTAGAAACACTTAGGGAAAAACTACATAAAACTCCCTTAAACGAACAACAAAAATTAAAACATGATGGTACAGCCATTCTGGAGAGCGATAACCAGTAAATTCACATCCCTGTTATCTACTCTACAGGGATTCTTCCAAGTATGCGGAAGAAGATATTCAAGCATTACTTACAATAAAAATTAGAAACAGTTTAAATCAGTCTTTCCTAACTTCAGTCATTTTCATTCCATATCCATTTTTTTCCAAGATCTGAGCACCTGTGATTTCTCTCATATCCAAATACATGTGTACTATTTTAAAATAACTTTTATAAGCACTGTAGTGTAATACGCAGACTTCAGCCAGACTGTCTGCCTCTGACCCACCTTCGTTGTGTGATCTTAGATAGTTATTTAACCATTTCCTCTTGGAAAATGGGGTTTAAACTGGTACTTATTTCATAGCAATGTGGAGAAAAATAAATGAACTAATCTATGTATAGTACATAGAAGAGTATTGGGCCCATAATGCTATGTAAATGTTGTCCGTGACTTGTGTGAATAAAAGATATTCTTAAAGACAACAGTGTGTTATTTAATCAGATGTCAAAAGGAAAATGAGTCACTGCAGGTTGCCTGCTGACAGACACGTGAGAGGTACTGCCGGGACACCAATCATCCCTGATCATTAGGAGAGAGTTCTTTGCTCCAGAGCAGTGGTTCTCAACCTTCCTAATGCCGCGATCCTTTAGTACAGTACCTCATGTTGTCTGTGGGTGCATCTGCGTGTAGGCAGACCCACCTGGAGATGGATAGAGGAGCCGTGTCTCGGTTCCTAAGACCATTGAAATATGTTTTCCGATGGTCTCAGGCGACTCCGGAGAAAGGATCGTTTGACCCCCAAATGGGTTGTGACCACAGGTTGAGAACCACTGCTCCAGAGAGTCCCAGGCATTTATTCTCCAGTGAGTCAAATACCTGGGCTTGAATGACACCTCTCTCATTACTAGGTGTGCAGTCTTGGTCAAGTAACTTCTCTGTGTCTCCATTTCTTCATCTGTCAAATGTATTTAATAATATCTCCCTTCAGAGTTATCATGGTGTTTAAATGAGATAATCTACATTAGGTACTCAGAACACTATATAGATCACAATAGCAGTCAATAAATTGTCACCATTATTACTATTTCACTTCCTGGCTGTTCAAACAGCAAGTCACATGGCAGCAGTTCAGAGCTATGACTGCAAACACCATAAACAACATGAAGCCATCAGTGGGCAGTCGCCTTTTTTATTTCACTAAACCACTACACAGAATAATAGGTCCTTGGTTGATTACACTCATTTGTCCTAATTACTATAAAAAATAAGCCACAACTTTTAACAGAAGGAAATTTTATTTTAAAACAGTAGGTGGCGCTATAAGCTCTTACAGGTGTTAACAGGATTTGACGGCAGGAGCATAAAATCCATTTCTCTCTTACCTGTTTCATCTTGCCTGGATACCCTTTAAGCAATAGGTAATGGACACTTGGAAGTCTCTCGGAAGTGGACTTCTGCCATTTTATCAGCACCATTTTTTTTAAATCCTCACCCATTCCATTGATTTTTTTAGATAGAATGGGAGGGAAGGAGGGGGGGAGAGAGAGAAACGCCTGTATGAGAGAGACACATCAATTGGTTGTCTCCTGCACAACCCTGACTGGGCCAAACCCACAACCGAGGTACATGCCCTTGACCAGGAATCGAACCCAAGACTCTTCGATCCCTGGGCCGACACTCTAACCACTGCGCCAAATGAGCCAGGGCATATGGGCACCTTTTTGAATAACTTTCAAGATGTGCAGTCTTGATGTGTAGCTAAGTCAGGGTGCTCCACAGCCCACTCCAGATCTCGCCTCTCAATAACCTGGAACAATTCATGGGTAGGCACATGGCCAAGGCTGAACCAGTCAAAGTCTCTCTGCTTGGATATTGAATAATACATGATAGATAGAAAAACTGAAAAAACCCGAAGGAGCTCATTAGTTCTAGTGGCTGATTAAAGACCTTCTAACCCTGACTAGTCTTGTCTGTTCTAACCAGCAATAAAGTCTCTTTAAGCTTAAGTCAGATTCTGTTGCCTACAAACAAAAAACCTTGGAGCATACTCTTTCTGTTATACTTTCAGATGATTAGCTATTTTCTTCAGAGGCTAATTACTCAGACTTAACTAGGCTATTTGGCTGTATAAATTGGCATTAAAATGGAGGGGATATTAATAGCAATAATTCACTAATGACCATTCAGGCATTAAGCTTAGTATATTCATTTCATAGACCAGCAAACTGAGGATAAATAATCTACCCAAAGCAAAAATTTGCAATTAGAAAAGCCCATATGAGAACCCAGGTCTATCTAACTCCAAGCCAATAGCCCGACCACTCAGCTCATATACAGAGATGATAAGGCAGCAGTAAGGCATTAGAGCTAATCTTCTGTGTGTATTCACAGGCGAGGTGCCAAGGCAGTACTCAGGAATATATGTGGTCTGATAAAAACCAGAAAAAGTCTATAAACAAAAATAAGTGAGATATAAATTGAAAAAGTTAACACTTTCAAGTAAGAATTACTGTTTTATGAGATCCAACTATCATCCAATTTACTGAGGAAGCATCTGAACAAATGGAAATGTAAGGTATTGAATCAATGGGCATTTACATACAATTGCTTTTGTGTTATTGCTATACTGGGAAAACTAAGGTTTATAAGCATATAAGATATAAATTGATATATACAAGTATTATGAAGCTTAATAAGCTGATGTTTATAAAGCATATAACAACCCTGTAAAAACTCTGATCCTCTTCATCCAAGGCTAAAAATAAACTATACAGCAGAAGTTCCTGGATCTATGAATACAAT